GATGGGGAGAGGAGAGAACAGCCTTCCAGTTAAAGATCCACCCTCAGTTTAAAGGTCAGCTTAGGGCAGGCTGGCCTCAGTGGGAGTCAGGGTCAAGGAGAGGAGCAGTGGCAGGGCAGGACAGGAATGCTCTACATCTCGCTCAGGTCAAGCAGAGTCTGGTCCAGCATCCTTTGTGAAATGAGATGCTCTTCTTTGGTGCATTTCAGTTTATCTTCCAAATCATCAGTTGTCTTTTCCAGCTTGGCTATTGATCTTTCAGCAAACTCAGCACGGGTCTTTGCCTCCTTGAGTTTATCAGTAAAAATCTTTATCTCTTCCTCATATTTGTCTTCTTTTTGAGAGTACTTTTCTTCAGCAGCACTCAGACACTTCAGGTTCCATCAGTCTGATCTGCTCATCCATCTCTCGGCAACGGGATTCTTCCAACTCAGCTCTCTCTTCTGTGTATTCCAAGTCTCTTCAATAATCACCAATTTACGAACCACCTCCTCGTACTTCCAATCTGCCCCTTCCACAATGTGCTTAGCTTTCTTGAGCTGGATTTCCATCTTTTCTTCACCTTTTAAGGCCCGGTTTTTAATAACCGTCGTACCTCTCACGCTCTCATCAGCAGTTTTCTCGGCCTCCTCCAGCTTTTGCAGGGTAGCGGCCAAGAGCTCCTGAGCGCGGTTCAACTCCTTTTCAACCAGCTGGATCTGATAGTTCAAGGAGGCCACGTCAGCCTCAGTCTGTTCCCCGGACCCGCCTTTCTCCCTCTACTTCCCGTTGGAGGGATTCGGCCCTCTCCTAGGTATCATCCGTCTGCTGCGGCAGAACCTGGATCTTGACCTTCACCTCCTCGTCGGTGCCCACCAAGCTTTTGCTCCTGGCCGTGGTACCCACCAAGCTTTTGCTCACACTCCAGTTCCTGCCTCCTCCACTAGGCATAGCAGCCGCTTCTCTCTAATCATTTTTTTCTGAGACATCTTTGAAGTTTCTTTTGGAAATCAAGTAATAGGAAATATAAATCAGGTCTAGATTGTGTCCCACCCAATCTGTGTATATAAATCTACCCAGGTGCTTTGTTTTTTTCTGTTGTCACTCCATTTTTGTTATTGTTTCTAAGCAAATTAGTAGGATGGCACAAAAGTTATTGAAGTACCAAATCTAAGTTAAATCTAAGACATAAACACTGTTTAATTTTGTTTTCATCCTGGAGCTTTGGAGGATGTGAAATTTATAATCTTGTCATAAAAAGAAATGAGGTAGAAACAAAAATGATCAAGGCTATTATTTATGGTATAATGAGAAATTTAAATGACTGGCAAGCATTGTCTAAAACTAAGTTGAACTTGGCAATTATTCATACAGATGTGTGTATGTGTGTATGTTGTGTACATGCATCTGTATGTGAGGAAAAGAGAGAGTGAGAGAAAACACGACACAGTGGCTATCATTAAATCCCTAACACGTCAGGCATTTAATCATTGTCCCTTTTGGAAAAATATTGTTTCTCCAGGTTGCAAATGCAAAACATTAAAGGAAGGTAAAAGAAAAGCTTATTAAGCACTTTAATTACTTAATCAAGGCACATTAACATAGCCTAAAAAGTTATTATTTGTGATAAAAACAGATGTATTTTTTACGCTTATTAATAATGTCTTACTGACATAGTTACCAGTATTCAAGGCCCTGAATTATTTTTCTACACTAACAAATTGCTATTGTGACTTGTTCATATCAAAGAGGAAAAGATATACAATCACACTTGAACTAAAACAAAATTATTAAGACTGAAATAATGGTAAAGAGTGGCATTTAGGGTCCCCAGGAGTATAAATTGAAAGTAAACTATATCTGGAAATGAGGATGCCGAGAAGGCAAGAGGCACATTGATACCTGGATACTGGTCAGCGTGGTGTACTGGTAAGCTTTGACCACCAGGTAATTTGCTTCCAGGTCTATGAGGCCCAGGATCATGTACTTCCACCATCTTCGTCGTAAAATTGCCAGGAGATTTTCTTCTCCTGTGTTAATGAAGTTAAGAAGAAATTGGTTAAGTTCTTGACACATAAAAAACTGTATAATAAAAAGGATTTAAAAATATTGTAGCCTTATAATTTTCTAACTATAACCTTAAAAAAAAGCAGTCACTGTCAAATTGATTCCAACTCATGGTAATTCTACGTATGCCATAAAGAGACTTGTGCTCCATATGATTTTCAGTGGCTAATTTATCAGACGTTTCTCGAAACCTTATATAGGGTTGTTATGGGTCGGAACCTACTCAACAGCACCTAACAACAACACCAATTTATCAGAAATAGATCACCAAAGCTTTCTTTGGAGAAGGTACCTGGGTAGATTCAATCCACAAACCTATAAGTCAATAGCCCAATGTGTTAGCTGTTTGCACCACTCAAGAACTCCATAACCTTACCAAAATTTTAATGGAACAAACGAATCAAAGTGACAAAGACCCACATGCTTTTCCTTTACTGATAGTCTTCACTGTAGATTTTAGGTCTTCAAATTAGCTTCTATTCCAAAATAAGACTGAAGGGAGTATTACTTTATCATTTTAAACACTTTCTCACAAAGAAAATTTTAATTACATTATGTAAAAATAAAAGTGAAAATGTGAAGGAAAAGGCAATATACAATAAGGTGGATGTCAGCACAAAATGATCAAGGCAAAGGAAGCCACTAGGAGGAACACAAGACTTAAAGGCAACAAATGTACATACTATTACATACACAATCCTGCACTAACAATAATAACAATAATTTATGAGTGGATACATAGACAGTCATAGTGGACTATGAGCAGGGCAGCTAACAACAAGGTCAACAGTTTGAATCTACCAGTTGTTTGTGCTTTCATAAAAATTTACAGCTTTGGAAACTATATAAAGGGTTAATATGAGTCGGAACTAACTCCACTGCACACAACCACCATCATGTCATAAACAGTCAACCTGAACAAGCAAATGCAACTACATCCATGAATATATGACAGGGTTTCAAAAAGTTCACGGAAAAAAATCCATTGTTTTATTTTATTTTTTTAATGTTTTATTGTGAATTATGTGATAGTTTACATGGGAGAACATTAGTTTTACATTCATTATATTGTATATCATTTCATTGCTATGGTTACAATCCCCTCCATGTATCATCAACCAACCAAAGGGAATACACTACAAGCCTGCCCCCCGGTCATCAGCACACAGCCCCTCTCCCTCTCTGTGTCTAGAGTCCCCAACAGCTCCATCTCTCCACGTCATCGTCTCTTGCCTCCATCTCAGGCATCACTGCTTCTCTGGGTAGGGTCCTGCTCTCCGTTCTTCTCCCTTGATGGTCCCAGGGACCTCTTCTCCTACACTGAAAAGTTTATCACTCCCCTCCTTGCCACAAAACGTCTACCTTTACAATGTCAACCCTCACAAGCAGTCCTGATAACAATTATGATAACAATTATCACAAGAGACCCATCTGCATTTCATTTCATCAGCCCTGCCTAGACAGATTGTATACTACTCAGTGAAGATTCTGCCTTCCTCCATACCCTCTGGATCTAGGTTCCCTCTTGAAAGGTTGTAAGCCAGTCACTTCTTGCCTTTGTAGGCTGTCCCCCTCCCCCATTTTGGAAAATCCATTATTTTTTAATTCCATTTTTCCAGGAGCTTTTTTGAAGATCCCTTGTATATAGGTTGTTGTTGTTATATAGGTTAGACAGAGGATATTTCTGCACATGTATTTATATGTACTGCAAATGCTCCATTAATATAGCACAATATTGTTGTTACTAATGTTAAGTGCCATGGAGTCGGTTCCTACTCATATCTACCCTGTATGGGTTTCCGAGGAGTGATTGGTGAGCTTGCAGTCCAGAGTATTAGCCCGCAGTGCTATACCAGTTAAACATGTGGTTGTCGTCATTAGTGCCATCGAGTCAGTTCGAACTCATAGCAACCCTGTATAGGGTTTCCGAGGCTACAAATATTTATGGAAGCAGAAAGCCTCATCTTTCTCCTGTGTAACAGCTGGTAGTTTCGAACTGATGACCTTGAGGTTAGTAGTCCGACTCATAATCACCACGTTACCACTACCATAGCTGGGGCAAAATTATGAAAACTTCTTAGCCATAATGAAATACTTGAGGGGATGAGTCATTGGGTCTGGGGCCTCAAGGACCATGGTCTCAGGAGGTACCAAGGTCAATTGCTATAACACAGTCCACACAATGTTCTCCATCCAACTGTAGTGCGTAGTGACTGAGGTCTTAAAACTTGTGAATGGCCATCTTAGGTGCAACTATTGGTCTCTCCCCATCGGTGTGTAGAAATTGGAGAAAATCAGAGATGCAAGGAAACAATTAGTCAAAAGGACTAATGGACAGTGTAGGCCCCAGCCTCCATGACCCTAAATCCAGAACTTGATGGTGCCCAGCTACCACTGCTGCCCTGCTCTGAAAGGGATCACAATAGGAATTCCTGAATGGAGAGGGGGCAAAATGTGGAACAAAACTCAAAATCATGAAAAAAAGCCCAGTTTTGTTAGTCTGCTGGAGATTGATGGAACTCCTGTGACTATGATGGCCTTTGGACACCTTTCAAGATTGGAACTGAAGTCACCTCTATGGCTTAAGTTTCAATCAAATCGACAGAAAGGCCTATAAAGTAGACAACAGACCAGGGAGTAGGTATATATGCATTAGAAAAATCAACTGTAGGTGATTAAAAAAAAAGGGCTCTGGTAATGTAGTGGTTAAGAGTTGGACTGCTAACCTCAAGGTCAGCAGTTTGAAACTACCAGCTGTTATACAGGAGAAAGATGAGGCTTTCTGCTCTGGTAAAGATTTACAGTCCTGGAAACCCTATACAGGGTCACTATGAGTTGGAACTGACTCCACAGCATGTAACCAACCAGTAGATCAAAAAGGCAGTATTTGCCCAGGAATAAACTCAGAGAGCAGGAAGGGATAGGAAAGAAGGATAATGGGATAATGGGGGGAAGTAGGAAGAATTTTGTTGCATTACTGAAATTGCAATCAATGCCATAAAGCAAAATGTATATTAATTTCTGAATGGAAAACCAATTTGCTCTGTAAACTTTCACCTCCCCTCAAAACGATACACATGTACGAAGTGAATGTGTGTCAGCAAAACTACATAACCTCAGGAAGTCCAAATTGTTTTAAACTTCAGGATGGTAATAGAATAGTTAGAAATACAAAGAGGGTAGGTATCCAAAGGGAAAAAAATGCAGGAGACCTGAGATGCATTCATGAATGTTTACTCAGCTTTGGACATTGTATGCACTCTAGTGGTATGTGAGAGATGAAAGAAAGGAGGTTGGGATCACTCAGAAGGAAAAGTGTGACATAGGACCAAGTCCTAATGCTGCCGATAACTAATTTTCACCACGTTGCCTCTAAGAACAGACTTTAAATCCCTTAATTGTTTATTCCTATTTTCACATTATTTTTGGCCTGAAATAAACCATATTTCTCAAGGTACTGCAACAATTACTAATAATAATGGCCTCTGAATCTATCCCAATCTGTGAGGTCTTCATAAAGGATATGAAGAATATGCAGAAACCCTGCGTTAATGGTTCTGTGTTACCATGGCTACATAACAAATACCACAAAACAAAATAAAACAACAAATATTTATTACTCATAGTTTTATGGATCAAGAATCTGAGCATAGTTGAACTGAGTGCTTCTGACTGCAGTTGCAGACATTCTGTCAGCTAGGAGTGAAATCTTATCTGAAGGCTTGGCAAGGCGCTTTCCAAGCCCACTCACTGATTACTGGCAGGCCTATGTCCTGCTGTGACATTGTTGATCAAGCACTGGACTGGTAACTACAAGGGTGGCAGTTCAAACCCACCAGCTGTTCCTTGGAAACCCTATACAGCGTCACTATAAGTTGGAGCCAACTTGATAGCATTTAGCAACAACAAATGCCCCTCACCACAAGGGTACCTTCACAGGGCTGCTTCATAACATGGCAACTGGCTTCTCCCAGGGTGGGCAATACAAGAGAAAGCATCAGATAGCAAGCACCCAAGATGGAAGCCATAGTTGGGGTGTTTTTTTTTATAACTAGCATAAACTCTGAAGTGACATCCCATCACTTCTACTATACAGAGAGCCAATTACTGTAGTCCACACTCAAGGGGAAAGAGCCTAAAAGGGTGTAAATAGTTGAGGTGGAAATCATTGAAAGCCATCTTAGAAGCTGCTTATACCTCTTCAGTCCTATAACAGAGCTGGTCCTCAAAACCCTCAAGTTCATTCATTCCAAGTCCTCACTTGTGTCTGATTCATCTCAGAACTTTGAATTCCTGATTTTAACCTTTGGCTTCATTCCAATGAACTTCACATGAGGTGCCCTTTACAACTTGATGATGGGTACTTAATGAACACAAAGTTTTCCAGCTACAGAGAATGTCAAAGGGTAAGCTGTGCCTAGTTGGCAACAATGGGAAAAGGTCTCTTGGCCTTTTGTAGTCAACCCAGTTTTTCTAGCCTTGTTTTTGATGTCACACTTTACCCAATCTATGCTTCAGGCACACCAAAAATCTTTCTATATCCATAAACTGTATTCCCACTCATTGTTCAAATTTAGGTCTTCTTTAGATAGATTGGAAGAAGAATGATGAAGATTGATGAAGACACATGGGGAATGCAAGGGTTAAAGGGGATAGAGGTAAACAGTGTTATATACACAACCTTGGAACAGCAGTGTTCTTCAGGTAGGTACATGGACAGATACACAGGCTGAATAGGTATGGGAGGGAGAGTGGGAGTCTGCCCACAGATACATATGGGTTTGAAGGAGAGTATTTGTACATGGGTCATTGTAGCACTGTAGGATAAGCATTGGGCTGCACGGTCAATTTGAACTGTAAGTTCGGCAGCTCAAACTCACCAGTTGCTCCTTGGAAACCCTATACTGTGTTGCTATGAGTTGCAACTGACAATTACACTTATGTTTGCTACAAACACATCTAT